CAATGCAGATGTGTTAACTCACAGCAGAGCGAAATTCTCGCCTGCCTGAATATACTTGGATTTCAGCAACTCAATGGAGTGAGGTTATCACGCACGAAGGGTGATGCCATCTTTGATTATTGATGACACTTGCACGCGCCATCTCGCGGCAACTGCTTTTGCTATTAGAGCCCCCTCCACCCGCCCCCTCCTCCACTCGCGCTCGACGCATATCCATGATAACATGTTAATATAGCGAAGTCATTAAAGTTACACAGCTGTATCTTTATTACTGTACTACCGGTATAGCAAAGCCTAGCTATCATAGATTTTAGATCTGTATTAGTAGTATCCTAGATATATGCTCTGAGCGCAAACGCTGTGATGGAAGGGTGCTCTTCATTCGTTTGCCAGTGAGTTTAGCATCAGAACACCTAACGTCAGGTGAGCGCTGTCGCTCTGCGGCACTTGTTTAGCATTGTATTTTATTGAAACGCTCCAAGTGCCTGTGGTCATGGCCATGTTACATTTAACAGGTTTATCTTAAGTTAGTAGTGTGCCGTGTAATACTTGTCTAACTATGTAATTAGACACACCGCGAACCACAAAATAGACATTTGAGACAACATATGTTTAGTATCAAATTTTCGAGAAAACGTAGGTTTATTGTTATTGGATCTTTCGTTGTATACATTGTTGCATCTGTTGTTATACATGTTTTCAGGAGTTAATTCCTGACCAGGTTCAGAGCGTCGAGTCATCAGTAATAGAAACATGCAAGAGTGACGCTGCAGTCACAGGCAACGGCAATGCTTGTTCAACAACACACAAGGAGGAAGTGTCCCCCAAAGAGCACAAAGATCTTACACCAGTATCCTTCACAGAACACAATGAATCCAGCCCACCACCTCTCACAAAGCACAAAGACTCTGCCCTGCCCTCGTCTACAGAACACAAAGATCCGCCCACACAATCCCTGACAGAATCTACACTGCCGTTGCCCGCACAAGTTGTGTCTAGTACACTGGGAACGGAGGAGGACAATGCTGACATCGCCGACGAACCAACGAAAGAAACAAACGTGAACGACGACGAAAACAAGGACGCAGAAGTCAACAGCGGTGCAAACAAGGAGACGGAGGCCACCGCTGAAGGAATTTTAGATGCAGGGGTCAACACCGAGGCAAGTAAAGAGCCAGAGGTTGCCGTTAAGGGAGCGAAGGTCGGTGGCAACGCGGGCAAGGTCGCGGACGAGTGCTCGGAGGAGGACAGCCACGATTCGCGGCTCGCGACGTCGACGGCCGACGAATCACACGACGGCGTTGAGCACAGCGAGGACAGCAACTCTCGTCTCGCGGAGGGCGAGGATGCCGAGGAGGAGGAGATCGAAGAGGAGGACGAGGCACCTTCGCCGGTAAGCAGCACGAGATGCGCGGGGAGGGTGGGTCTGACCAGCGAATTAACACCAAATTTTTTGGCTAATCCGAAGCTATTTTACTATCATATGATCAAAAAAAAATTTGGGGATTTTATTTTTAGTTTTAGCATTTGCTGTGCAGTAGTGTTTGGGTGGAAGTAGGCAGGGACAATCTAACCATTATAGTTGTACCAGTGCCAAAAGAGAAACTGCATTATTCCGGCCGACTTCTTAACAATGTGTTCTGGGTTCATTTGTGATATTTCCGTATTATACGCATCTTTGATACCATTCCTCCTCATGACACTTCTTTGCCTGATATGTCTGCACCCCACCACTTGATTACTTGCCCACAACATACCGCTGCTTTCGGAAGAGCCGGTAGTTCCTTATTTTGCTTTTGGCGTGGTTTGTTTACATAACATGGATACAAACATAATAGTTATTTGCCTGGTCATAGATATGCCATATCCACAACACGATAATTTATTATTGGTTATACACACATATACATACATATACATATATATATATAATATATGTATGTATATATAAAGCTCAATTATATCACCTGTTTATTGACTTTCAACAAATTCACATTTGTGGGTTTAGATTAGATAGCACGAGTGTATTAATCAATGGCCGAGTTGTATACGCTTTGGTGTGTTACTGTTAGACTTGTCAGCTGACCCAATTAATTAGAAAAAAATAGGTGCAAACTTGTTGTGGGGAATGTGCTGTTAGCTTGGCTGTATTCTGTGCTCTCATTTTTGTAAAGCTGTCTGGCAGTCTGCCATGACAACGTTTTAGTGTCTTGTTTGCCCTCGATGCCAGTTATTTCAGGAAACAGCTGGGAGTTAAGTCTGTTTTCTAATCTACTAATGTAGCGAGGGGGGAGAAGGAGGCGGTTGCCTAGAACAGGTTGGAATTGCGGCACCCACTGCATTCGTGCACCGAGCGCTCACATCTTTCACATGTTAACGTTCTCTTTCACGTTTCAGAACTTTCACTTCCGTGAAGTGAAGGGCGACATATTCTCGGCATCCGACACAAAGTCTCTAGCTCACTGCATCTCACGCGACCGCGTTCTAGTGAAGGGTATCTCAAAACACTTCAAGAAGAAATTTGGCGGTGCCAAGGATCTGAAAGACCAGAGTAAGTATCGGAAGACTGCGATAGTTGTGAAATTCATCGAGCAGTTAGATATTTTTAAAAGATAACAGATTTTATTTTGTCGTATGTTTGCTTTTGTTGCGTGCAGTTAGGGGCATAAAAAGTTTGTATACATTTCTATGAGTAATACTTGTACCCAACCTGCAGACACCGCGTGTTCATAATCTGGTGAATCAGTGTCTGCTCTAGATAAGTCTTTCTATTCATGCAAGCAAGTCGGTCGATCGTAGTATTGTTAATTACTTTGGCAGTGATACACGTTAAGTTCTTGTACTGCCCGGTAGATGGCGGCACGTTCCATTAGGGCATCGGTCTTTCATTCGACTGCTTTTGCAGAGAAACGCATTTGATTCTCCTACTGACTAATAAATGGCAATAATAATAATTCCCTTGCAAATAAAGTGTGTTGTAAATAAGGTGGGCATGCTGCAGTGCCAAGTCGGTAATGTGTAATACCTCCCCCCCCCCCCTCATCGACGCGGATCCGGGAGAATCGGCTTCTCTCCCCTAACGGCCGCTCTTTTCTCTCTCCCCCCCGCTGCGTCTTGCAGACAAGGAGGTGGGCGCGGTGGCGGTGCTCAAGCGCGGCCAACGCTTCATCTACTACCTCGTCACGAAGGACAAGCACTTCCAGAAGCCGACGTATGCGGCGCTGCGGCAGTCGCTGCGTGCGACGCGTGAGCACTGCCGCCAGCACCGCGTCAAGCACCTGTGCATGTCGCGGCTCGGCTGCGGCCTCGACGGGCTCGACTGGACGCGCATGTCGGCGATGATCGTCTCCATCTTCAAGCCGCTCGCCATCACCGTCTCTGTCTACTACTTGTAGTGCTGTCGGAGGAGGAGGGGGAGGGTGTGTGTGTGTGTGTGTGTGAGTGTGCGTGCGTGCGTGTGTGCATGTGTGCGTCTGTGAGAGAGTGCATGCATGAGTGGAACCATGTTTGTATGATTCAGGCTGTGCGCATGTGCGTGCGTTTGTTTGTACGCAAGTGTACGTGTGTGTGCCTGTGTGTGTGCGTGCGTACATGTGTGCGTGTGCCTGGATGTGTGTGTGTGTGTGTGTGTGTGTGTGTGTGTGTGTGTGTGTGTGTGTGTGTGTGTGTGTGTGTGTGTGTGTAGAGAAGAGAGACTTGTGTAGCGTTTGTGTGGAGGACATGACGATACACACCACAGCTTTGTACTGTTGTCTCGTTCTCACATACAGCTGCCAGCAGTCCCGGAGATGTCACCATGTTCAACTAGATGAGATATTCACTAAGTAAAGTGTTCCATAATATTTTCGATCGATGCATTTGGTCTGTGTTCGTACAGTGCACTGAGGCGCCACCTGCGTAGCCAAGTGCCGACGTCCCGCGGGTGCGACGGCCGTCGCAGCGTCGTTCGCGTGTGCGCTTCTCGTAGCGGCGCCCTCTAGTGGCTCGCCAGCCGCGGCGTGCGGGCATCCCGCGAATGGGAATTAAAGCACGGTCGGTAGAGCGCTCGTTGCCGTAGCGACGGGAAGTGGCGGGCGTTTGGAGTGCGCGCGATTAACAATGTGAGCGGCGTCGGCGGCGAGGAGGCGAACGCGGGAAGAGTCCGGCATCCGGCTCGCTCCAGCCGCGCTGATATAAAAAACATTGCTCATCGTCCAGATCGCACAAGGATGCTGTCGCGCGTGCGTGCGGGAAGCTGAGAACGTCACAGGGTCGTGTTGTTGTGGTCGAGATTGGAACGTGCCAAGTGCTGCTCTCGTCCGCACTCTCTGCTCATTGTCTGTTCTCTGTCCTGTCCCCTCCCTGTCCATTCTCACGCTGTCCACTCACACGAGTGCGTGAGAGGGCAAGGGCACACAGTGCGATCGTCACATTGGCCATCCTGATGCGCAATTCAGAATTCCAGAATCGCGCGGAGCACGGGGGGTCGGCTCGTGCGTGCACGTGTTTGCTGCCAGTCGGCCTTTTTAGCTCAGCTGACGAAGTCAGATGCAGCTTGTAGCAGTGAAAAAAATACACGGTGGCTCGGGGCGATTTAGCCCCCGAAATGCCAAAAAGAGCCCCCGTAAATTTGCATAGAGTTAAATGCAAACCAAATTTTAGAGTGCTATTTTCATGCACGCGAGCTTGAAAAGTAGCCCCCGAAAAATAAATTTTTTCCCTGGCTTGTAGAATCGCACAATTGTCCGTCCGTCCGTCAACAGCTTAACCGCTCGATGTACGGTCTTGATATTAGGGGACGTCGGGGGGGATCGCGAAAAGGACTCGGAATGTCGAATTTGGGGGTCAAGGGTCAGGGGTGAAGATGTGTCAATGGAGGAGGAATATTTCCCCCTTAACTTAAGGTATAGGAGGAAATACGGAATTGCGACACAAATCTCAACGGCTTGACCTACGCTCTTAATATTCGATGTGTAGTGTGATGGGGAGGAAACCCATCACCAGTGCGAAATTGGAGGTCACAGGTCAAAGGGCAGTGGGGGAAAGGTCAGATATCAGACATTTTCTGAGGACATGGTCTATCGGACCGAGTGCAAAACTTTTTTGTTTCAACGCTGACCTACCGTTTTTAAGGACCATGAAATCTACTTTCCGCTGACGTGTGAAGAGTAAGTGTCTGATAACCTTTTGACCCTCAAGAGGAGGGTTAAACATGGATTTGTTGACTGTTAACGAAGGACTGAACTGCTTTTGCTATTTGAGCCTCCTCCCCCCACCCTCTACCTCCCCCCCACCCTCCCCCCACCCTCCCCCCACCACCACTACACTCGCGCTTGACGCATATCCATGATAACATGTTAATATAGCGAAGTCATTAAAGTTACACAGCTCTATCATTATTACTGTACTACCCGTAGGTATAGCAAAGCCTATCATAGATTTTAGATCTGTATTAGTAGTATCCTAGCTATATGCTCTGAGCGCGAACGCGGTGGCAGGAGGGCGCGTTTATCAGAAGAATACCTGGCTACTGTACACGTCAGTTGAGCGCAGTTGCTCTGCGGCACTTGTTTTCTAGAAGTCACTGTTTGTTGGAGTTGAAAGAAAGAGTTGCAGGTTGAGTGGAGAATGTTTGGGGCAAGCTGGAACATTGCCGTGGTAACGGCCCTCGATCTGCTTTACGATGGAAAGGTGGTGGTCTTATTGACGTTGTTGATCGGTTCGGATAATCAGATAATATCGTGTAGTCTAGGTTTTGCCAAGCAATTCCAGTCAACGACACTGCAGAGCTAGAGAGAGATGAAGAGAAATAGAGAGGAAGTGAGAGAATGATAGAGACAGGTAGACAGACAGGCAGAGGGGCACAGATAGAAAGAGAGGGGCGAGCTAGAAAGCGTGAAGTAGGCAGATTTGCTTCTGTTTAACAGAAGGTTGGAGTGTTAGCACGATCAGGAATGATCGACGGACAACGACAGATAGCAGTGAAGTGAACGTAAGAATAATAAAGGGAAGAGGAATAGTTGGTGGGGAGGGGTCACGGTGCGGTCAGCCTCTGAGCATTTACCGATTGCTGTAGCGCAACTGTTCCGTCGGCCAGAGTTCCGCAGACACTGCAAAATTCAACTCTGATGTCGACTCGTTCACTAATCGCCCTGTGTTTTGTGTACGACTATTGCATCTGTACGCGTGTGGTCAATGTGATTTATCGTCTACTACCTACCTGTCCGTCTGCCTGTCTAACTACCTATCTATCTTCCTACTATCTACCTACCTGCCTATCTGCATACTCGCTTGCATGCATGCCTGCTTACTAGCCTGCCTACTAGTTTACCTACCTTTCTGTCCACCCGCTCATCTTAGAATTGCTGAGTTGCATCACTGCAAACGTTACAAGACATGTTTAAATGGTAGGCTAGTGAGATGTGAGCGTCTTCGATTTCGGTGACCTGCCGGTAACCAACTCTCAAAGACACACACATTGTCAATCTAACTGGCAAGATCTGACTGCCGTTTGCGAGTGGAATGAAAAATTGCAAAGGTAGTGCGACATGATGACATGCCTAGCTAGCCGCAGTGAGGTGGCGCCACTGGAGATTACATAGTCAACGCGGTGGCACCACATGCAATTTATGTAACATTGGTGAGGCAGTACCTTGAAGAATGTACTGAGCCACAGGAAGGTGGCGCCACTTACTATGTATGAAATGACAGTAATGTGGGCTCACATGCAATGTACAGAGCCACAGTATGGTGGCACCACCTACAGGCCACAGTAAGATGGCGCCACCTACAATGTACGAAGCCACAGTAAGGTGGTGCACGTGTCACACTTGCTTGTACGTTTGACTGAATATCGGTATATTTTTGTATTAATGGGTTCCTGGTAGGTCTTAGTCGTAGTTTACTGTTGTATTCACATTATATTGTATCAGGTTTTTAAACTACTGGGGGTGTTATTTGTGTGGTTACCTTGCCAGAGCCTAAAGTGAGAGCGAGCGGGCAAGAGAGAAAGATAGAGACCTACACTAGTAGAAAAGCACCCGAGCTAACACTTTGCTGTTTTAATCGCGTTCGTGTTTGTGTGTCGAGGCACTATTAGTATTGCTCATAATGTTGTGCTGAGGGCTAGGCCACTAGGTGGCACTAGTATTATCCGGGCAAAATGAACTTTTGATTTTGGTTTGATCTTTCTCAAACTGCAGGCAGTCGGTGAAATGTACAGTCTATAATATTAACCATTGTTCAGCAGTGTCCACTCGACGGTGATCGCTACAGCGGTCAGTGGCCAGTCTACGGCCTCGTGACAGTGAGTGACAATGACGTCAAGCGGCCGAGTCATTGTCACTGTCCACGTGTCTTGGTGTCAATCGCTGTTTTAGCGACATTGACTGTCTACGTGTCACCGACTGACCAACTAGAAGGCACTGATGTGCCATTTGGGTGTGTCACTGCTGTTTTTAAGTCATTGAAGCCTTTTGTTCCGTGTCCGTATGTAAGTGACAATGCACCATACAGTGCCTGAGAGTTCGTGTGATGTCGTAGCACACAAGTACGCGTGTGTATCATGTATGGCAAGTGCGAGTATGTATGTGAATGTACTCAGGTGTGGGTGTGCATGTACACGCGCGCACGCATGTACGCGCAAATGTAATTGTGACCGTGTGACCGTCGTGTGTGCGTGCGTGCGTGCGTGAGTACATGTATGTGTGAACACATGTACATGTTATGTTAACACACGCGAGTACATTTGTAATTGTGTTAATGAAGTCTCACTGGTGATTATACAGTCTGCACTGTTATTTTGTAGTCAAGTCTAATAAAACAATTATGGTAACATACAATAAAAAGTATTGTATTAACAATTTGTATTAGTATGAAAAAATTACAATAACACATCACATATAAATATAGTCGCACAAAAATACTGCAGTTATGTCCCTTCTCAAGCATACAACCTGTGGTGCCAACTACAGTGGCATTGTGGAACATGAGCACAAAATTAAATCGGGGATAAAGGTTTTGCATCCTAGTTGTATGTAAAAAAAAACATTCATTCGAATATGACACTAGTAGTGAACCAGTTTCTTCATAGCGAACAATTAAACCATCATTGTAAGGGCCATACATTGTGTGGAACCAGGACTACGCAGGCGACCTGTTGTGTAATGTCATCGCAATCATGTTTATAGCAATCAGATGTACCAGTGTTGGAACCATGCTGTAATGACAAGATTCTGATTGCTGGGTGACATGCCTTTACCTCTTTACCTCTAACACCGCCAACTTGAGTGGTGGTGACAAAGACAGCTGCCTATGGCAGTTACGAAATTCCAACGTTTACTTCAGCGTCCATGAAGGATGCAAGTAACAACATTTCATCTTCGCAATCGACAAGATTCCGAATTGATGCGAAATTATTACTCACCGAAATATTGGGGGGTGGGGACATTAGCAGATGCACACTCTAACACCGGCAATCTGAGATATTTACAACGAGTGTAATCGCACCCGACAATAGCCACGAGGCATCCCATCCCAACGCACAGACACACATCACGTCTAACGTGTACTTGATAATGCTACAATATTTACTTACATAGTGTACTTGATACACGCTTAGGCATGTATGGCAGTGTACATAGTAGTAAACTTTGTGGGGAGTGCAGCATGGAAGCGCAGAGGCAGTGTCACGTACCTTGCCCCCACCAGACGACGTGTGATGATGCAGTCTTGCTGTGTGGGTAGGTGGCACCAGTGAGCTAGTAAACGGTCCATGTGAGCTGCGTCAGGCGGTGGTGCTGCGCTGCCAGCTGGTCTAGTGCCTCCGCCGATTGCTCTGTAAAAACACAGGCAGTTATGAAGAACTGCTGCTGCCTGCATTACAGCCATGCTGCCAGCATTACAGCCATGCTGCCTGCATTACAGCCATGCTGCCTGCGTAAGCGTCACCCCCTTCACTGCTTGTGTCACAACCCTACTTACGTGTGATACGGTGACATCCGTCGAACACAACGATGCTGATGTTGGTGCAGTACGACATCACAGCCTCCACAGCTTCGTCTGTCAGTCTCTCACAGTGACTCATG